AACGTAGGGATTTCCCCAGCCCCAGAGATAGAAGAGCTTACAGGGATAGCTCCAGGGAGAGCCAAACCGGGTCACTTTATGGACTGGGGGACCAAGAACAATATACCGATCAGGACAAGGAAGAGGGCACGTGGTTACTAGACTCAGGGGCCGTCAACCACACCACATATGACCAGAACTCACTGACTTCATTCACCAAAGAAAATTTTATAATAAAGGTGGCCAACCAAAATAACGTCCAGGTGACAGGGAAAGGAAACACATATGTGCCAGGGATAGGAGTAATAGAGGGGGTACTACTAGTACCAAACATACCCTACAACATCCTTGCCACCCTGAAGCTGAGCAGGGACAACAACATTGAGGTGACATTCAAGAAAGGGGAAGCATACGTAACCAGAGGAGGCAAAAGCGTAGGGAAGACAGTAGTTAGAGGAGGCTTACCATACTTTCACCCAGACAGAGACATACACCCAAAGGTAAACACCCACCTAAGGGCTAAGCCAGACTCCACAGGTAGCGGAGACAAAGAAACCCACAGTAAGGAAATAGAGGGGGTTAGCCATGAACACACAACAAAAGAAGCAAGAGATCAAGGATCACCTGGCAAAAGGAAGCCATCAATAGGGAAGTTAGTACATGACAATTGTGCACACCTATTGCATAGGAAATTGGGGCATATCAGCTTTCCGGTGATACAAAAAATGATGGAATGTTCCGAGGGTATAAAAATAAAAAACTGTGAGAACTATCTCGAATGTTCTGTTGCAAAAGCTCTAAACTAAAAACTAAGCCCAGACCCAAGAAATCTGTGTGCACCACCAATTCCATCTTTCAACTCATACACATGGACCTAGTGGGACCACTAAGACCCTCCATTAAATACAAAAAAAGATTTTTCTTAACCATAGTTGATGATTTCAGCCGCTATGGCTTTGTATACACCCTAAAACATAAAAATGAGGTGTTCCAAAAATTTAGAGAATTCTATGCAAGGGTAGAAACACAGCATAACACTAAGATCAGACAGATAATGACAGACCGCGGGTCTGAATTCCTGTTGAGCGACTTCTCACACTGGTTGAAAACACGCGGGATATTACACTACACATCTTCTCCATTCTCCGCCTTCCAGAATGGCATCATAGAACGAAAAAATGGAACACTGCAAACCATGATGAGGTGCGCACTAGAGGATGCGGGGTTAGGGCAGCACTTCTGGTCAGAAGCACTCATTTACTCAAATTATACACTAAACAGTTGTGGTCCAGTGTCCTGAACAAAACTCCATATGAGCTGATGTACCAGAGGAAACCACAGGTGTCACACCTACATGTATTTGGGGTTACAGCTGATGTACACATCCCCAGGCAATTGCGACACAAGGGAGACAGAGTATCCAGGAGATTGAGGTTTATGGGATATGAACCGGGGACGAAGGGATTCAGGTTCATAGATAGTAACAACAGATTCATAATATCATGAATGGCTGTTTTCCATGAAAACGCCAACTGGTCCAAAATACACCTCAATGAGGTGTTCCTCAGTAAGGACGGACCCAAAGACAGTCAGGGGGAGACAGAACACACCACAGAAGGGACCACAGAGCAGGGAAAGGACAAACCCAAGAGACAGGAGGTACAAGTTAGGGAATGGAAGGAGAACCACCCCAACATTAAGATAGACTCACTCACAGAGAAGGAGGCTAAGTACCTACATGACACTGAAACACCACCAGCCAGGCCAATCAGGGCAAACAGGGGCAAGGCACCAAAAAATTTAGAGGATTATGTCTTATCTATGCACACTAACCAACTAACCCCCAACACATACGAAGACGTGCTAAGGCTACCAGAGGGAGAGAGGGCCAAGTGGGAACAGGCTATGGAAAAGGAGATGAGTAGCCTAAGGGAACTAAAGGTATACACCCCCTCTGAAGTCCCAAAAGACAAAACACCCATAGGCACCAGATGTGGCGCAAGGGTTCGCCCAAAAGTACCCAGAGGACTATACAGAGGCATACTCCCCCACCGTCAGAGCTGAAAGTGTGAAATGTGCCTTGGTGATTGCATCATTACTTGGCCTGGAAGTACATCAGTTCAATGTACAAACCGCTTACCTACATGCTGAGCTTGACAAGAAGATTTATGTGAGGGCACCACCCAGCCAAAGTACCACAAAGAGAGAAACCTGGGTCCTAAACAGAAGCCTGTACGGACTAAAACAGTCAGGGAAATGTTGGTACGAGTGCTTGTCTAAAACCTTGAAGTCTATGGGTTTTTCAGCCACCTCAGCAGACAATTGCTTCTTCATTAAGAAGGTAAACAACTCCATTGAGTATGTCCTGATATATGTGGATGATATATTGTACATCAGTGACCAGGCCAGCAAATGTAATGATTTCGCTAACGAGTTAGGGAGACACTTCTCGTTAAAGATACTAGGTAAGGTGGACAAGTACCTGGGGGTACAGATCATGAAGACTGACAAAGGCTTCCAGCTCTCACAAAAGGACAAAATATTGGAACTCTTGCAGAAATGCAACATGGCTAATGCCAAAACATGTGAGACACCAATGCAACTGGATATTATAAAGGACATGTATAATGAGGCTGAGGCATTCAAGGACAATACACTTTATAGATCCACCATAGGGTCACTACTGTACATTGCGAACTGGACAAGGCCCGACATCGCCTTGCCAGTTAACTTATTATCCTGACACGTAGGTAATCCCACCGTTTACCATTGGGAGGCCATCAAGAGGGTACTGAGGTATCTAAAACATAGTGCAGACGCCTGCCTATCCCTAGAACCTGAAGCAGCTGCAAAACCCACACTCACTTGCTATGCTGACGCCGACTGGGCTGGAGACGTGAAAAGTAGGAAGAGCACCTCAGGTTACATATTCTTCCTTAACAACAGTCCAGTACATTGGTACACAGGTAAACAGAACCTGGTAGCCACATCCACGACAGAGGCCGAATTCATATGCCTATCCAAAGACGCCAACAATCTGGTTTGGTTTGATGACCTGCTCACAAATGTTTGGACTGAGCCCACCTACCCGATCACTATCCACGAGGCCAATAAAGCTGCAATTGAAATATCGAAAGCTGAAGCAGTAGGCCAGAGGTCGAGGCACATTGACATAAAACACAAACATGTCAGGCAATTTTCAAACATTGGGTTCATAGAGGTCATACACTGCGATACCGAAGAGCAGACAGCGGACATATTAACGAAACCTTTACAAAATAAACAACATACATACTTAACATCCAAAGGCGTACTCTCAAAGACAACATCTCAGGTGCACACACTCCATGGGCATTCAGATCAGGCATTTAGAGGGGGTTTTGTCACAGATAAATGGCTGGTCTCAGATCCAGGGCTGCATGCAGGGGGGCTGGACAGGCCGACTCCCAGGGTCCACCCTAACCCATTGACCCCTCCTTACCTTGGCCACGCCCCAGGGGTACTTAAGGTCCAGCCATGCGGTCCAGAGTTAGTTCCAGAGCTGTACCTGCAAGAATGAGACACTTATGAATAAAGACTGCTGATTCAAAGAGTACCTGTGTAATGGAGTTATTAGGCTCGATCCTTGAACACCTTTAACAATATAATTCCCACTGATCTCTATGATTCATTTTGAAATATGTATCTATATATGTATGTAGATGTATTTAATTTCTTAAAATACTTGTTAACTTCTTTCCAAGGTGGAAATTTTAGATACTATCAAGCAAAGGATACCAATTTAGCGACCACAATTGGGAATGTCAATTTGATTGTTAAGTGAAGCAATCACGGAGTGAAACTCTGTCCTTATGATCTTTCTTCAGCTTTCCTTTGCTTTATAGACCTATGATGGTTGCAAATGCAAAGAATGGCTGTTGTAACTGTGAGCAATTTGCTAAATGAGGACTATCTGTCCAATTTCTGACCATTATATTATACAATCAGTATTGCAGGAAGCTGTTGGATAATCAGCAGATTCTGTACTCTTTTTTAAAAAAATTAGTGGAGTATCTTATAACTGTTGTCACTATCATATCTTTTTAAGTTATGTTCTTCCATGCAGTATGGAGCTCTCTTCATTTTTAAAAAACTGTTTTAAAAGAGAAATGTCTTCATCAGATTGTGATTCCATTTACTCTGAAATAAATGACTGACATAAATGTTTATGTATGCTACTGTCAGCCTCCGCTTTTTCATTGCTTGCTTGCTCGGCTGCCATTGTAACGGGGGAGGGGGGGAGCTATTGAACTGTCTGGGAGTGGGAAGTGAGCTGGTGGAGAAGAGAAGAGAAAGTTTTATTCAGTGTTTTCTTTGAATCTGATAACTACTCAAGGTCAACCGTCGTGGCATAGCAGGAGGATGGCACTATCGGACGCTGCACCCCACATGACCCCTGGGGGGAATGTGGATTGGATAATCCAGGCTGGACAGTTGGGGGAAGGGTTTTGGGGATGCTTTCTATATGTAATTTTTGCGCCTATTGCCTCAGACCTTGCTTTTTTTTTTTTTTTTTGGGTTGCATTCAGTCAATACTCAGTAAAAGTACCTTTCTCTATGAAAATGGAGTCGGGGTTTTTCTTTCTTGAGAATTGAAAGGAGGCACACCTGACAGCTACTGTGCTGGCATTTAGTAGTAAATTCATCTTTAAATATCTGAATCCATCTCAGCATTCTCTATAATAGGGCATTAATTTGATCATGAGTGAATATTTTCTACATTTATTTTGTAACAAGAAGAGAATAAATTACCTTGGTCTTCGGATTTAATTTTTTTTCTGGTTCTTGTCCCCTTTTCTACACAGTAGACTGAAATGACAGTGATGGCAATAGCTTCACTTCTGCAATGATAGATGCAATATCAGACAGAATACCAAAATCTGCACAGTCCTCATTTTCAGGCTAGTTTTTCTCTTCATTTTTTTTTTAAACAATGAGAACCCTGCTGAGTGAATAATTGCCCCTTCCATTTTTTTACCTAGATCTCCAAGAAACCCAGAACAGAAGATCATTAAACGAGTGATTGCTCTTGAAGGGGACATCATCAAGTAAGTATTATACATTGTCACCTCTGACTTTTGTGAGAGTATTCCAGCACCCTTTTAGTAGAATTTGAGTGGTATCCGAAACAACCATCGTTTTTTGTCACATATGAATATGTATTATTACAAAGGTACCAATCTATACCTTCTTTATTTTTTTAATGAGAAAGGAAGGGGTTTAAGGCAAAGATATTCACCAGTTGACAAGTCACAGTTGTTTCAATTTGGAACAAGGACCCTGATTTAATAAACTATGCTGGAATTAAGTTGCATGTTTATTTTCAATGTTGTCCCATTGTCTGTCTCTTCACAAAAATGGTTAAAAAACTAGGAAGAGCTACTTTTCCCTTATATGTGAACATTAAATTGTAATTAATTGCTCCTAACAACAGAATTGCATGTCAACCTAGGCCAGGATTATTCTTCTTCTACAAATCTAGGCTTCTTTAATCATAATTCTGAGTTTGGACATAAAATGAACCTGTAAATTTGGGGTTTACTACTGCTTCCTCTTGTTTACATTGATATGATGCTTATTTACCACCTTAAAACAATGTAGGAGCAATATGACCGGTTGGTCTCGCAGCGAGACGGACATGGGATAGTGGGCCTCTGCGAAACCCAGCTGATACCTGCTTGCCAGGAGACCCTACAGGGTCACCTTGGAGGGGTGGTGAAGATAGAAGGGCCTCTTTCTCAACTGCAAGGAAATGGCAATTTCCTCTCTAAATCCAAAGAAATCCTCCTGATCGGCAGCAGAGATGACAGCCATTCTGGCCAGCACGAAGCTGTGACAACCAGAACAAGATTATGAGCAGGAACAGTTCATGAACAGAGGATTGAAACTGGGTGAGATGATTTTCAATTTCTCTATTAGAGACTAAACCCAAATAATTAAAAAAAAAAAAAGACTCTCCAAAATCTGAGAAAGCAGCGAGCTAATACACAGAGATAGATTATAGACCCAAAAGAGAAACTAAGAGAAACTAATTTTTATGAAAGACTATGAAGTTTTAAAATATAGAAAGACCAAACTGGAACATGTAGTATTGTAAAAAGTGACTTAATTTGTGGATAATATTGTTGGATTACTGAAAGAAATCATATAAAGGAAAATCGGGATTTTTTTCTTCGATCTTTTGACAGTCAGCTGTTCCATTTTTGCTTCATTTAATGCTGGAACTTAGAGCTGGGGTGCCACCTACTGGTGAAATACTATACTATACTATAACATGGTGGGAAAAATTGCCAAAAGTCCTTGACAAAGAATGAGATTGATAACAGAAGAAAAACAAGGAGTAGAAGAAAGGAAATAGAAAGCTAAACAATACCTGGAAGGCCTTTTTATTTTGTTTTCATATCTATTTGTTTTTCTGGCTGCTGGGAAATGACTGGTGAGTCTCTTGAAGATTTTTTAAGGCAGTGTTGATTATAATTAACAGAAATTAACCTGGAAATTAAATACTTGACTCTGGATTAATGAGATTTGTAGAAATTTGGTGGGCTATTCTGGATTATTAATACTATTTAATAGAACTTCTTATGAGGTGAAAGAAGAAAGAAGAAAATTAAACAAGAGTTATAAATGTGGACAACTGAGAGGGTGCAAACTGGAAAATTTTGAGGACTATAAACTGTGTGGACTTTGAGGAACAGTTCCGGGACTGAGTAAAATTTACTAATATTGGCCACTTGGGTGTCTCTGGGTAATTGGGACATGGGGATCTTGGTGGCCTATTAAATTAATACAAAATGTACCAACAGGGAGAATCAAATATATTTTAAAAAGAAATGCTATTGATGCTTCAATGTTTCAGGAAACTATGACAAAGAATCATAGGGAGATGATAAACTTGATGGATACAGATGTGAGACTAGAAAACCCTCAGCAAATGACAATTAAAAATGAACAAAAAAAATTCAGAAAGTAGAGGAGAAAACAGAAGGAGCTGAGGAAAGAATAGAGGAGATAAATCAACAAATGACACAAATAGATAAAGACTAATAGAATACATTATAATTACTATGTATACATAAATGTTAGAAGTTGAAAGATTATTAGTATTTATACTTACACAGTATTATTATTATTGTTATTAGTACTGTGTATAATATACATTGACCCAGACAATGCACTGTTCACCAAGCACTTATGGATGTTAAAGAAAAAAACTATAAATAAAATTATTTTAAAAAAACAATGTAGGAGCATGTGTAGTTTTTATATTAAACACATTTATATCACAAATCAAAATGTACTTTCATTGAGAGAGGGTGTGGCCAGCATTGGGCGATACGGTGTGGATTCTGGAGTTCCAGAAGAGCACTGATATCCCAGCCAATTTTGGGGATCCCTAGGGGACAGTGAAGAAAGAAGACGCAGGCTGGCACGGAGAGGGAAAGAGCAAGTTCCCTGAAGTGCTGCCATTAGTCTTCGACCCATCAGCGAAGGAAGGCAGCCATGGAGCTGTCAAAAGCCGGAGCAGCCACGATCAGAAAGAGGAAGTGCAGGAGTGGTGATTGAACAGAGTATTGTTACCGGATGAGTACCAGCCAACTCACAGGTAAGAAGAAAAAACTTTTAAAAGCTTGAAAGAAGTCCCAACAAGCAATTAGCGGCTAATTTGCACTTGGGAATTTAAGCAGAGGGGGGGGGGGAAAGGTACTTTAAAGTTAAACTTTAAAGAGCCATAGGAGTATATAGCTGAAAAGATTAAGAGAAGCAGAGAGGATGAGGACTGAGATTGTGATGGTTCAAGTGAGCATTTGAATTGGACACTATCTGGAAAGAAAAAGGAGATATCGCATGGACTTTGAAACTAGAAGTATAAGTAAATGAAAATAATAAATTAGAAAATTCTAGCCTTCTAAAGTGACAATATGGAGAATTGGGAGGATGAATGTGAGATATTAAGGGAGATGTTTGAAAAAATAAGAGAAGCATTTAAGGGAAATAAGGAAGCAGAGGATTGGTTAGAATGCAAGAAAAAAGACAGAAAAAGATGAATGAGAAGCAAGAGAAATAAGGAGAAAATATTGAAAAGGAAATAAATGAAGATAAAGATAAAGATGATTACACTGGGATTAACAGTGATAGAATAAAAATGGATAAGAGAGAATACATCTCAAAACTGAAAAGAAGAGAAATAAATGGGGAAATATTGAGAGGGAAAATTAACAGAGTGAAAAGAGGCAGAAAGGGAGATATAAGAAAAGGAGGAGGAAAAAGGTAAGGGAATGGGAAAAAGGGAGGAAAGCATCAAGAAATGGGATTGTGGAGAGTTTAAAAGAAAATGGTTAAGAGTCAGTGAAAATATTAATATGTTAATAAAGAGAAGGATGTTAGTTGTAGAAATTATATGTGAAAATACTGTTTAATGTAAAATAGATCAATAGATGAAATGTGAAAAAAATGAACTGGTTTTGATGTTGGCAGAAGCACTAAGTGGAGAGAAATAAAAGCAACAAAAGAATTAATTGAAATTAAGATGGGAATTGAAATTGAAATGTAAAATTGAATGAAAATGAAATGTTAGTAAATGATGTAAATGACAGACTTGTAAGAAGTAAAACGGAAGAAATACATTGTTAAAGGGAAAAAAGCAAGGGTTGGAAGATTATTTTAACAAAGGTTTCAAGGAAAAAATGCAATAAGTTGAAATATTTATTAATAATTAAAAAGTGGAGGGGAATTTCGAGTAATATTTTTAATAAATGAGAAAGATTGGGGTTGCCTGGACACCATAGTGGAAAATATTAAATTGAAAATGAATACAACAATAGAGAGAGAGAGATGAAAGAGGAGTAGAGAGTAGAGAGATGGAAGAGAAGGGGAAAAGAGAGAGAGATGGAAGAGAGGGGAGGAAGGAAGAGAAGGGAAATCAGAGTAGGAGAGAGGGCTAGTCAGGGAGGAAGAAAGGAGGAGAAGGAGAAAGGAAGAGGAAGTAGAGAGGAGCAGGAGAGGAGGGAAAAAGAAAGTAAGACGGAAAGAAGAGAGGGAGATGGCAGGATTGAGAAGAAAGATTGCTGTACAACAAAAAAGATGAAATGGAAGAAAGGCAACCCCGAACATATATAAATATACTAAGATAAAGAATGAATGGTTAAAAAATAAAAGAGAATAAATATGAATAAGCAGGAAAATTAGAATTTGAGGGCGAATGAAGATGTTGTTTATATAAGTAAGCAAAGACATATTGAGATATGATTAAAAAAGGGAAAAAAGAAAATTGTGGCAAAAATTGTAATTGAGTAAAGTGTATTTGAATTTGATAAATTGTATAAGATAAGATATGGCCAATACTCTGTTCAAAAAAGATGTGGGTGAATTTTCCGTGTTTTTGAAGCTTTTTTGGCAGGTCGGATCTTGGAGGGATCGGCAAGGTATAGGGGTTTCTTCGGAGTTTGAATGTGGAGCAGTGTGAGCGTCAGATACACAGGGAAGAAATCTGCTTGAGAATGGTGGATCCAGAGGCATAATGCCCCAATGATTTGTACAGGGAGTGAATAGTGGAAAGCAGCTTGAAGAACCGGAGAGAGGAAAATAAAAATTACAGAAAGGGAAAACTCTCAGAGATTGTTAAAAGATTCGAAAGAAAAGTGGCAAAGTGAGACTTCAAGAGGGACCTTGAGCGGCAAGGCAGTGGTGGGAGTGGAGATCGAGAGCTCTCAAACAGGGAGTGAACCTATCGTGGTGAGTTGAGCAAATGAATGGATTGGAACTTGTTCGCTACATTTTTTTGGTGCTAGAAGAAACTTTATAACCTTGGATGTTGTTGTTGGGGTGTAAGAAGAGAAAGTGTCAGGTTTGAAGGATATGTTGGAGGCGATAGATTAAAAGCTGAGCTACTGACAATGAAGGTGACTGTGCAGTTTTGAACAAAGAAGACATCTTGAAGGAAGGGGTGAAAAAACTCTATTAAAAAACTCTTATGACCGTTAACAACTAATTGAAGAAACCGAAGAAAAAACTAAAAAGAAACATTTAGAACTCTTTATATAGAGAG